AATCCAAATCCATCATCGTCACTGACATGGCATATCTAGAAAACGCCGTCTGTTGTGCCATCTCGGATCAGCGAACATGGTAAGGTGAAGAGGTCTACACTTCTCGTAACTTCTTCGTGGCCTATGTGAGTGTTGCCATGATGTGGTCCTTAAGTACAGATGCTCATTAATCTTGATTATCGCTCATAGCAGATACTCCCGCAAAATTTCAACGGGACAAAAGCCATCTTTCCGTTGGCCTCGGGGCAGGATTTGGCTTCTATGAATCAGTGTAAGTTGCTTTGAAGCTGCAAGTATACGAAGTAAAGGCTGATGAGTTACCATAAGTACCCTTGGCCGATTATCGGTCTGCTCCAAGGTCACCGAAATGCGTGAAATTCGGATACCGTTGGGTTTCCGGTCCTGATAAAGAAGGCAAGAATAGAAATATCCGGTTTACCTGCCATAGCTTCATGCACCCCTCGCGGAATAATGACGCAAGGTTGTGGAAATACTTCTGATTCGGTTAAAATCCCTAGCCTTGCGAATCATAGTCAGGAACACAAGCCGATGCTTCGCAATGCTTTCCAGATGCTTTCAACGGATTGACAGCCCGACAGATTTGAAATAATTACACTGTGTGGTGTAACTTATGACGACACTGAACATCGTACAAGCCATATGATCATGATAAACATCTTTCCCCCAAAAAAGTTGGTGTCAGTAGCAAGGGTTCACTGGTGACTCCTCCTCCGAATCAATCTGCATGAGAATGTTCTGAATCTTGTAAGCATTGTGATCTTCTGAAAACTTGAAGGACAGGCGTCAACTACAGTATTGTCAAGTTCTAAAGGGAACAATCAGATTTCGGACAGAAGGAAAAGGCCGAGCGTGGTCTGTCAGAATGTGGAGTCATTTCAAATATGAATAAGTATTAAGCGATGTCCTCCTCTTACTGATAGTAGCTGATGGTGTTGAGGGTTTGCTGACCGTACGGCTCCGCCGCCGGTATCATACGCTCATTAACCTGTCATTTGTCTTTAGATACTCAGGTGATATACTTACACGGTGTCATAATTCCTCAGAATAAGATGTTATGTGTCATGAGAAGTTTCTTATCGGTGCAATCAAGTGGGAAGGTTGCTCATGTGTACATAAGAACACCAAAAGCAGGCACTGCTGGTGATTCTGGTTAGCCATGACATATGAGTGGATACCTCATGGGATATTTACATGCGGGTTTTGTTGCGGTTGCGATGTCTAATGAATATTCGTGATTAATTGGAGTTGGTGGCTGAGAGAGGAACTAATGGAGCTATCCATAGGCGCTGGCGATCATTGATCTTAAGCGAGAATAAGCTGTGCATTCGTTTTGCGGTTGGCAGGTTTTGGCAGGCCACTTTAGGGTCACTTGAACGACAATGCTTCTGAAGGAGGGAAAAGGCGAAAAGGAAAATATCATCATGTCTAGGTCATGTTACGTGCTCAACGTAGGCTGAATCCGATTTCTGATTTCCGGGCCGTGAGACCACATGCAAGGATAGCAAAATGGTACTAATTAAACAGCCTAAGTCAGCGATTTTAAGTGAATGTGCAGTAGGCCGGGCCACAGGCAAGCTCTACCTGGATAGTAGGTAACTGAAGATAATTGAGGAGAATCTGTCACCGCTTCATGGCGTAAAATGGGTAAGAATGAATGTTTACTAGCGTAAACATGTGGGCATGTAATGTTTTACGAGAGAGTGTATGGCGTCTCTGTCAAGTTGCGTGAACGGGCCTTGCGCCGCATTGCGAAGATTAGCAGAGATTAGCCGAGATTATGTAATCACTAAATCCTTGACCTTTCCAACTTCAAACAGCTTGCGTCTGATCCATCTTTCCTCTGCGAACACCTGCAGGAGATTCGTGTGGGGCTACGTATTTCTACCTTCTGAGCAACTAATCAATTGCATAGTTGAACAGGTTATAAAAGACTGCGATGGACGCCATTGTCTCCTCACGCTCCAACAATGGTCGCGACGTGGCTTACCTTGTGTGCGATACCTCTTTGCATTCTGGTCCTTCATGCGTATCGTCGATGGCGCAAAGAAGCGATCCCACTCCCTCCTGGTCCTCCAAAGGACCCTTTAATCGGTCACCTTCGATATGCTTTGGTTCCTGAACCTCACAACTTCCACCACAAGTTGGGAAAGATATATGGTACAATTCTTCGCGCTTTGACTCTACGCACCGTTTAAATCCATGAAAATTCTTTGTAGGTGATATCTTTCATCTTAACGTTCTCGGACGCAACACTGTCATCGTGAACAATCTCGCCAAAGCCAATGACCTGCTGGACAAGCGAAGCTCCAATTACAGCGACAGATTCATACCAAAGGCTCTTAACGAGTGCGTGTACATCTTCCCAGCCTGAATCTCAGAATTGATTGTCACTTGCAGGATGGGATGGACTGAGAGCTTACCATTCCTTCGTTATGGCAAATCCTTCCAAACACATCGCCGTATCTTTATGCAAAATTTCAGCAAAGCTGCGAGCTCCAGATACCTACCAGTCCAGCTCCGAGAAGCGCGTGTTTTCGTTCAGAAACTCGTGAACAATAAGTGTGGTTTGGATATTCCGGAAACAGAAATGACGGTTTCTACGTGAGATAAAGTTTCTTATCACACTTCCAGGGGCTTTTCTGATCGTATAGAACCTCAGATTTGTGACGACGATAATCGTGCGCATCGTAGCTGGCTATCAGATCACTTCGTCCCAGGATCCTTATATCAAGATTGCCAGAGAAGTAAGCGCTGCACTTGCTCAGGGCGGATCCCCAGGTGGCAGTCTGTTGGATTTTTTCCCGATAAGTACGTTGTTGTCTTTCTCTCTCTCCAGGCTCTGCCAATCACTGAACGACTTGGATTTGCAGTCCAATACTTGCCAAGATGGTTCCCTGGCACTTTCTATGCCTACTTTGCCAGAGACAATCTGCCCAAAGTGAGAGCACTCTACGATTATCTGTTTGACGACGTAACAGCCAAAATGGTGAGCCCATAATACCATCTTTCTAGTGTCAATTTTCATCGTTATATGATACAGGCTAAAGGAACTGCCAAGGCGTCTATCATGGCCACTCAGCTGGAAGCGCTTGCTCACGGAGACGGGACCCTTGGTTATGACATCGACGATATCAAAGGTGCCGGTGCCATTGCATATGCTGCAGGAGCGGATACTGTTTGTCTGCGTCTCATTTTCATTCAATCAAAGTGGCTCACAGGGTGCGCTAGACCTCATCGTCTCTTTGGATATTCCTTTTGGCGATGGTTCTGTACCCGGAAGCGCAGAAGCGCGCTCAAGAGGAGCTGGACGCTGTCGTTGGGAATGGTCGTCTTCCAGACTTTGAGGACCGCCCTTCACTGCCCTATCTGGAGTGTCTCCTTCACGAATTACATAGGTACTTCATATCTCTTTTAATTCGAACCCTATTGATAAAGCCTCAAGGTGGCACCATCCTTTGCCTTCTGGTATTGACCAATAATCTCATGGAGGTAATTTTGAACTCACGACCGGTTTTAGGAGTACCCCATCGTTCGGTCGAAGACGATGTTTATGATGGAATGCTCATCCCAAAGAATTCGGTCATCATTGCCAATATCAGGTAAAAGTAAAAATAGTGTGTCAAGTCATCCTAATACTTGATCATTCAGGAGCATGACGTGGGACGAGGATATCTACTCTGAACCTCGCAAATTCAACCCCTCTCGTTATCTCTCAAAGCCAGAGGGGTTAGAAGAACCTGTCCCTGCTGCTACATGGGGATTCGGACGGAGGTTCGTATAGAATACCAGTCAAGTGCAAGCCTGTACGAATATCTGATCGGTCTTGCGTAGAGTTTGTCCAGGACGCCACCTCGCTGACGCCACTCTTTGGATCGCCATTGTCACGGTCCTGTCGACGCTTAACATAAAGAATGCAATTGGAGAAGATGGTAAACCGATTGTACCTGAGGAGATATTCCAGACGTCAGTTTCCAGGCATGTCTTCATTTCGTTTCCTTGATTCGACTTCACTCATACTCGTTCCCTCATACAGCCGCCCTCGTTCCTTCCCCTTCAAGCTGGAGCCCCGAACGCCAGATGCCTTGAAGCTCATCTTGAGTGCTGATACTTCTGACAACTACTGAAGCTGAAACGTCTTGCCAACATATGTATCCCGTACTTAACGTGATCTTTCCGGATGTGTGTTGGCACAAATAAACATGGTTTTGACAATGTGAGAAACAATCTTGCGGTTATCCTCCATTCTGGGCAAGTTCAGTCAAAGGCACGAGAAATGAGGGGAGTCGTTATTGTCAGTTTATGTAATTAATCCAAGTTCGACCAGGCTGAACGCTGGATGATACAAGTACATGCAACACGAATTCACAAGACATTCACCAATTTGGATCGGGTAATCCTTCTATAACCAGCTGAGTTTTGAAAATCTCCTGACGAAGATTCGCTCCAGTAGGTTCCGGAAAAGTCAAGGAGCGGTCCCTGCTCTCCCACTGTCGGTCATCCCAATTTTCCGCGTCAAAACACTGATAGCTATCCATTCGAAACCGGATGCCTTCTTTCTCTACCTCTTCTGGATCCCAAGGCCAATATATGCCATTTTTCTTCCCGATCATCATACAAATTCTTTCA